ATGGCCTCTCCTCTACTTCTTCAAAGGCATCCTCTAAGATTTTAGTAAGAATGCTTCTTCCCATATTGTCGGAGACATGCAAGAACAAGCCTCCTGAGGCCGTCTTAAGATGCTTCGAGGTTTTCATATTAAGACCCATATAAAAGTGTTGAAGAAGAATATGGTCTTAAATGGCAAGGTTAGGACCAGTTTTAATGAGAGCATTAAAGCGTTCTCATGCCATGCCTAGAGATTCTTTTTCTTTTGTCTAAAAGATAGAACCTCTAAACAAAGTCTGACTACCCTAGAGATGGGAAAGAATTGCAAACAAAAGATAGAGCACAGGGCTTCCCAATCTTCTTGTCTACTCTCAATGGTGAGATTGTATCAACGTTTAGCTTTTCCCATCAAAGAAAAGGGAAAGAGCTTCCATCGTAAGGTTTCATCTGACATGGCCGCAATGTGTAGGCATGCACATGTCCGCTCAAACTCATTTAAGTGAGAATAGAGATTTTCATCACCTTCATCTGAAAAGGGTTGATCCTGAACGATGTTGATTAACCGTGGGCGTAGCTCATAGCTAGGTGTTAGGATAGGCTTTGAAAAGTCTTATGGCTATAGGCTTGTGCCCGTGGGTGCACCATATTGGTAGATAGGGATGGATTCTAGATCCATGGTAAAAAAGGAAAGAAAAGATAAAAGGATAAAAGTATAATACAAGGCTAAGCTAGACTCGAAGTTAACTCAGCAACCGTTCTAAGGCAAAGGTGCCAGAAATGCTTGTTGGTATAAATTAATGCACACAGAATAATCCACAAAACACAGATATTATATCGTTGTAGCACTTCACCGAGCGTAATCCAGTTTTATATCGAACCCAAAGGAACGGAGGTGAGAGTAACTAATTCTAACTTAACCCAACTTCACAATCAAGGCTAGATAATAGGAGCGTAGATGAGACTGCTAAGGCCTTCTAGTTCTAACTTACGTAAGCTTTGTCTTCTATTATTTAATTCTGGAGATATTACTAGAGAAAATACAAGCAAAGTATGTTTCCTATAGTAACAAAGTCCTGCTAAGCCTACTAACGGGAGGTGGACTACAGATGATTCAACGAGGCTATAAAAGTTACCCTCGCGAGCTACCATCGATCCGAAAAATAGGGTACATCCATGAGTAACCGAGTCTAAGCACCACTCTTACACTCCGGATACTATTTTAACCAAGGAGCTACAATGATTAAAGTACTCAAAAGAGAGTCGCAAACCTAAAGAATAATATGGACAAGATGCTTACTTGAATTAGAAGTCGATTATCAAAGACATCTCAGAAGCAAACTCAAGAAGAACTTAATTCTACCAGGGTACAAGCCGTAGAGAGAGCATTGACTGGCCGAGACTCCTCCAAAACTCTTCCCTCTAACTCTATCTCTCTATTTCTAATACAAGACTAGATCCTATCGAGGACTAATCTTATCTTGATTGGTAGCTTTGATCCTGGTGGACATATGAGGCCCTGTTTGGTTGGGCTTTTGGCTTTGGCTTTTGGCCCCAAAAGCCAAAAGCCCAACCAAAGGGGTTGCTTTTGGAGGGTGTTTTTTCAGAAGCAGCTGCTTTTCCGTAGTTCATTTTTGAAAGCTGGGTTGACCCTGCTTTTGGCTTTTGGCTTTCTGCTTTTCGAAATTGGTGGAATAAAAAGCTCTTCCATAGTTGTTTCAAGAGAGATAAAGATAAAAGGTATATTTTATACTTGTTTAACCAAACAGCTTTTAGCTTTTCTACAGCTCACAGCCCACAGCAGCTTTTCCATAGCTCACAGCCCACAGCAGCTTTTTTCCACAGCCATAGCTCAACCAAACAGGGCCTGAATTAGGTTTCTTACTTCTTAGCTCTCAGGATAAAAAATAAGGCATCTGCCCTGGGTGGTGCAAGCAGATATATATTGCCCGTAGCGTTAATCCTCAGCCCTTGGATCAAACCGACTTGCAATAATGGCTAAGATGCATCCTAAGAGGTGGTGGAGAACCGACGTAATAAAGAGGATGACAGGTGGGGCCCATAGGGGCCGGGCAGTCTCTAGGTGGGGCCGGCCAGCCCCACATGTCAGTGGGTTGAGCCCCGCTTCGGTGGAGGGCCTCCTGGAGTCTTTCGGAACCTTTCCACGTTGATCTAGCGGTGGAATACCGTGATTTCCTTTGACGAATATGTCCTCCTTGATAGTTTTCTGATTAAATCCTGCTAAAAACATAGAATCACCAAAACTCGTGTAATTTATGAGTTTAGACTCTTAAGTCTATGTTATTAATCTATTTTATTGATTTATGCCAGGTATATTGAGGGTGCGACGAATGTTATACTACCGTCACAAGTCATCTAACTCCGCCCACCACAGAGGAGCGTGTGGTGCCAGTCAGGCGAAGGCTTGAGGCTGAGGACTGCCCCTTTTTCCGGCCGCTGCGAGGGGGCCGAAATGCGAGAGCGAGCGCATGGCCGCCAGACGCGCAGGGCAGCAGCCGTTGTCGCCATCTCGGAGAGGGACGCCTCTGGTGGCGGCGGCGCTCCCCACTAGAGAATGAAGCAGAGCAGAGGAGAAGAAATGGATAAGATTCGCGGACTCGAGCTAGGGAGATTGGAGGCGAGGAAGAGCTGCTCGCGTCTCATGCGCCGCCCGCGTGGGGATCTTGAGGCTGGAGCCGTCCTCGGTAGGTTGCAGCTGGAAGCGCCGTTGGCCTTCAGGACTGGATCTGAGTGTGACGGAGATGGAGATGAGGGCAGCGAGTTCACGAGGCAGTAAAGAAAGGCTTTTTTAATTTCTTTTATTTTGTGGGTCCCACCACATAACCCAACGCCACTCCAAAGGAAGCCAAAAAAAAAAATGGATAAAATGTCATATCCTCATCCCTAACGTACACAACTCAGGCCCGTTTACATCTAAAAAAGCAAAAAAATTTAGCAATTAATGTTTAATTATGGACTAATTATAAAAAGTTTGTCATTTCTCATCTAACTGTGTAATCATCTCATTTAGTATTCCATACATAACGTTTGATGTGACACAAAATTTTTTAAATCTAAACGGGCCCTCAACCCAAACCCACCAGCCAACCAAACGCCACCTGGGAAGAATTGGTTGCGTTGAGCAAGACCAGGAGCCAGGAGGCCAAGTGGGAACGGGGATGTGAATGTGATGCATACTATTATCCAGCTAACTACGGTCAGTTGTCTCATCGAATATATATATATATATATATATATATATATATATATATATATATATATATAGTATTAAATATAGATTAATTATATAGTTTACGACTAATTTACAAGACGAATCTTTTAAATCTAATTAGTTCATGATTTGATAATGTGGTGCTTCAGTAAACATGTGCTAATGATAGATTAATTAGGCTTAAAAAATTCGTCTCGTGGAGTACCGACAAATCATGTAATTTATTTTTTATCAGTATTCAAATACCTCATACAACATCCTTTCAACATACCTCCTAAATTTTAGTCGCCGCATCCAAAACACTCCCTAACCCATGGTCTTTAGTCAAGATCCAAAAGATGCATCTCCAGTACCGTACCGGTTAGTCTATTTACGTTGATCAATTATGAATTTTGCTAGGGTGCTCATGGCATTAGGCTACTAGATCATTGTTACTGATATACATACATACAGGCTTGCTACAAAGTACAGCAGAAACTCCACAAAACGGTCGTAATTTACAAAACCTCAAGACACAGGAAAGCAGCAACCGAAAGCTTAAAACGACAGGTCCGCGCAGAACATGCTGTCGAGTGACTCGTACGCGCCGGCGTCGAAGGAGAACTGCTGGTCGCCGAAGAGGAGCGCGTCCGACTCGGAGCCCGGGGCCCGGGGCGACGCCTCGTCTTCGGTGCTCTCCGGTTCGGTCTTCGGGGCCTCGTCGTAAGCCGCCGACACACCCTGCCACGAGAAGTCCGGGAGTGTGCTAGAGCCGAAGCTCCTCTCGGCGGCCTCCTGCTTCAAGACGGCGGCCGCCGCCGCCGCCGCCGCGCGCTGCTCTTGTTCCTCTTGCTCGACGAGGTTGATGACGGCGTCGGCGGCGCGGGCGCGCTTGCGGCTGGCTGGGGCCCCGGCGGCGGAGGGGAAGTTGAGCTTTGCCCTGGGCCCGCGGATTTGGCGCGCGGCGTGGTCGTAGGCGAGCGCGGCGGCCTCGGCGGTAGGGAAGGTGCCGAGCCAGACGCGGACGCCCTTGACGGGGTCGCGGATCTCGGCGGCCCACTTGCCCCACGGGCGGCAACGGATGCCCCTGTAATGCCGCGCGGGGTTCCGGTGCCGGCTCAGCGCGGCCTGCTGCTGCACCTGGCGCGCCATGGGCTTGGTGGCGCGGAAGACGAGGGCGGGGGCGGGCTTGGTCTTCCACTCCACCATCTCCTCGTCCTCCTCATGGAACTCCCGGAAAACGGCCTCGAAGTCGTCGGCCTTGCGCTGCTTCTCCTTGCGGCGCGCCGGCGTGCTCGGTTTGACGTCGACGAGGACCGCACGACCACACATCTTTGCTCTGTCCCTCTCACCTTGCTGCTCCTGCTGCTGCAGGTTGGCTGGCTGGTCGGCTCTGGAAGCTTTTCGGTTTGCTTGGGAATGGAAGTCTCTGGATGACGAGGTGCTCTTAAATACTCTGTAGGTGGAGGAGAACGCGCCAGGGTTGCTGGGCTAGGAAAACAAGAAAATTGCTATTTCGCCATTATCATGCATGTGTTTTTGTCATCTCATAAATGGGATTCGCTCGTTTACTATTTTTAAATACGACACACCAGCAAAATATCCTAGATCAATATATGTATATATTTTGATTTTTTTTTTTATTATTTTCTTTTCCCTTTTACCTCTCACCCATCCCCATCAACTAATGTGTTGCGGATGAGATGCCACTCCACTTCACTCCTGCTGCTTGTATCCTCTTCGTCTTTCCCCTTCCCTCCGTCTTCCAAGCTTTCTCCAGATCAATCAGAAAGGGAAGGGACGAGGAGCCCGGCATGCCGCTCTGCAGCTTCTACGCCTCCACGTCCGTCCCCGTCGTCAAGCCCCAGCAGTCCGTCGCCTCCTCCAAGTCCCCCTCCACGGCGGCGGCCTCCGTGGCTACAATTGTGCCGATGCGCAGTGCGGCGACGGCGACAGTAACGACGGCCGTGCCCACAGCGAGCCCAGCGCTGTCGCTGCACCTGCCGGAGCTGCCGTCGCAGGTGAAGGACAAGATGCTGAGCCTGGAGCTGATGGGCGTGGACTACGGGCGCGCTGGAACTGAACCCGGCGCTCCGCGACGCGGCGCCGGAGTCCATCCACGCGGTGGTGTCGTTCCTCCAGTCGCGCGGGCTGCAGTTCAAGGACCTAGGCCGCGTCTTCGGCATGTGCCTGTCCGTGCTCACCGCCAGCGTCCGCGCCGACCTCCGCCCCGTCTTCGCCTTCCTCTCCGAGGACCTGGGCGTCCCGGAGTCGGCGCACCGGCGCGTGGTGATCAAGTGCCCGCGCGTGCTGGCGTGCAGCGTCCGCGACCAGCTCCGCCCGGCGCTCATCTACCTCCGCCGCCTAGGGTTCCGGGACAGCCGCGCGCTGGCGCTGCAGGACCCGATCCTCCTCGTCTCCAGCGTGGAGCGCACCCTAGCGCCGAAGCTGGAGTTCCTGGCCGGGCTGGGCATGTCGCGGGACGACGCCATCGCCATGGTGCTGCGGTGCCCGGCGCTCTTCACCTTCAGCATCAAGCGGAACTACAGGCCCAAGTTCGAGTACCTGGTGGACGCCATGGACGGCGGCGTCGAGGACGTCAAGGCCTTCCCGCAGTACTTCGCCTTCAGCCTCGAGAAGCGGATCGCGCCGCGCCACCGCACCGCGGAGGACGCCGGCGTCGCGCTGCCGCTGCCGGACATGCTCAAGGCCACCGACGTGGAGTTCAGGGAGATGCTCGACAAGGAGCGTGAGCTGCTCCAGGAGCAGACAGCGACGACGGACTGATGTGTTGCGTACATTCTGATGGGGGATGGGTGAGGGGTAAAAGGGGAAACGAAATAACAAAAAAAAATTCAAAATCAAAATATGGTATATATACATTCTGACGGTGTGTTGTGTTTGAAAATAGTAGACAGACGAATCTCATTTATAGGATGATAAAAAGCAAAATCCACGTTTGATAATAGCGAAATAACAATTTTCTCTAGGAAAAGCGGCCGTGACAAGTGCAGTGGGTGCGGTGGTGATGGCTGTGGCGTGGGGGCTCCAAAATTCGCGCTGCGGGAGAGACGGAGGGAAGGGATAAGAGCAGCTATCTTCATATCGATTATCGAACCGGGCACACTACATAGGCTTTGTTTAGATTGTGTCAAAATTCTAAGTTTTTTCACTCTCTTTTCATCATATTAATTGGATATATGTATGGAATATTAAATGTAGGTAAAAAAATAATTAATTACATAGTTTGATTGTAAATCACGAGACGAATCTTTTGAGCCTAGTTAGTCCATGATCAAACAAAATTTGTCAAATACAAATAAAATGTGCTACAGTGTCCAGATTACAAAAATTTGTAATCTAAACAAGGCCATACATTGAACCGTGGGATGTCAGACCAAAAGTGACTCCTACTTTCGATTCGTACCGTGGACACCAAGGGCGCGTTTAGATGTAAAATTTTTTAGTTTTGGCTATTGTAGCACTTTTATTTGTATTTTGTAATTAGTGTTTAATTATGGACTAATTAGGTTTAAAACTTTGGTCTCGTGATTTTTCATCCAACTGTGCAATTAGTTTTTTTTCATCTATATTTAGTACTCCATACATGTGTCGCAAGATTCAATATGATGAATACCACGTAAAATTTTTTGGGAACTAAACAGGCCCTAAAAACGAAGCACAGCTCCAAGTCACTTGCACATGCAGCTCAAGCAAGAAAGGTGGTGTTTAGGGCACGTTTAGCTGGCGAAATTTTTTGGCTTTGGCTACTGTAGCAATTTTGTTTGTATTTGGTAATTATTGTCTAATTATGGACTAATTAGGTTCGAAAGTTTCGTCTCGTGATTTCTCACCTAACTGTGCAATTAATTTTTTTTCGTCTACATTTAGTACTCCATGTATGTGCCGCAAAGATTCGATGTGACACTTTGGGTTGAAATTTTTTGAAAACTAAATAGGGCCTTAGTTAGGCAAAGTTTGCGCAGGTAAATTTTACATAATAAAAATTCTCTACTGTAGTATTTTGTTTATATTTATGAATTATTGTCTAAACATTGACTAATATTGTTTCGTAAGCAAACTATGTAATTAGTTTTAATTTTATCTATATTTAATACTATATGTATGTACCGTAAATTTAATACGACAAATTTTTTTTTTATAGTGCACTTTTCAGGAGTTCTAACGAACTAAACACAGGCTTTCTAATCGTTCCATGGACCCATTAACTGATGCTTGTACTAGAATGACGCAACCATCTCCAAAATCGATTTTTAACTGACCTGTGTCAGTCTCGGTTCGATGTTAGGACTGGAGCTGCCCAGGCCGCTGCGGACACGCCGGCACGACGGGTCACCTCGTCGCTTCCCTACTGGCCCTTGTATGAAAAATTTTTACGTAATATTTATCACATCGAATTTTATAGCACATATATAAAGTACTAAATATAGACAAAAAAAAAAACTAATTGCACAGTTAGGTGAAAATCGTGAGACGAAACTTTCGAACCTAATTAGTCCATAATTAGACACTAAGTGCCAAATACAAACGAAAATACTACAGTAGCTAAAACCTAAAAAATTTTGCATCTAAACACGCCCTTAGTTCCTAATTTTGACACTATACAAAAAGAAGATTCTCCATCACATTAAACTTACGGTATATATATAGAATACTAAAAGTAGACGAAATTAAAAACTAATTGCGCTAACTGATTATACTTTGCGAGACGAACATTTTAAACCTAATTAGCCAACGGTTAAACTATTATTAACAAATATAAACAAAATGATACACTAAAAAATCAGCACTATACAAACTTTCTACGTCTAAATTCCGGCCAACTAAACGCGCCCCTCCTTCCCATGGACCCATTAACTGATGCTTGTACTAGAATGACAACGGAGGGAAGTACGGCGATTGGGCTGCGAGACGTGGTGCAGTGCATCTGCCTCCTGCTACCTCCCCCTGCCCACCCCGCTGTCTGTCGCTCGGTGAGGACGAGGACGGAGGACAGACAGCGACGGCACAGCCGTACGGCGATTGTTGCCGGTGAACGCACGGATGAGACTGGAGACCCCGGCGCCGTGTTCGGCTGGACTAGAATCCGGCTTGTTTTTCCAGCTGGGGCAATCGTGGTTACCTGCTCCGCCAGTCAATTTCCTTCACCGCATCGTGCACACAGCTAAAAAGAAAAGACAGGTTTGACCACTAGAGGAAGAGATGGATGTCCGAAAATCCAAACTATCTAAATATGTATCCTTTAGAACTTGTAATATAGATAGCTGTATTCGTATCTGTTTCTAATTTGGATACTAAATGCATATCTCTGAATTCGTTTTTCAATTTATCCGACTCCAAATCTATATTCGACAAAAATATGGAATACCCGACATTAATCCGTATCCTGGGAAAACAAGGTATAATGAATCTATTTAAAGTTTTCTTTCCATGACTAGTGACTAATTACTTAATTTCAATATTACTAATGATTCAGTGAAACTATTTAGTACTATACCTGTAAGTAACTTTTAATATTATAGTCTAATACTATTGTATTAATGGTACAAAATATTGAATTAATTTTAGTATTTTTCTAATCTAGTTTAAACCTAATACATTTGTTGTTGTAGAATATTTTAATAATATTTTTGCTGATGTAAATTATTTTATAATTTATAAAGACATGGTAAATATTATATAGGTAATGATTGATTTATTCATACATTTAATTATTTTTTTTTCATAATAAATATATTTGCTTTTATGAGTTATCCTTGTCTATGTTATATACCCGCATACTTTATTCCCTACTTGTGTAATAATTTTGTAATTATAAAAAAATTGCTAAAGCAAAATGACTAATTGTTGCCCTATCATTTTATTAAATATTATTTGATGAGGACATCAATCCTTCAAATACAAGACAAGCAGACAAGGAGGACCAGTGTGGGCATCCAACTCATCTACGCCATGGCGGTGGCCCAGTCCAACTCAAGTTGGAGTCCATCTGATATTTAAGGAGTAGGATCAGGTAAAATCAACGCTGGGACGTATACGAACTCTGTTTTTGATGACCCACATATGTACGGGGAAACTAATTTCATAAGCTAACTAATGGATTTGGTTTCACGTCAAAATTTATTTGGAATCAATGGAAATTGTCAAAACAAATCAACAACCAGAATCGGCTAGGGTGTTAGGACACCATCTTTTGTCCTTTGGGATATGTATCACCTTAGAGCCCATTTGGGGCACATCCAGGGGTGATCATGCCCAAGTCTTCATAAATAGCTGTTGTCACTCACATTATGGTGTGAGTTTGTTGCGTTCTTGTTTTCCTCACGAAGTAGACATTGTTCGCTGCACTTGTATCGTCAAGATTGACTCCTATGAACTAGGGTTCCTGTTCTTGATCTTGTTCGTCTGTGTCAACTATTCCTTTGGAATTAAGACTTGAACCTTTTATCAAACTCATATACTTCATATATACTTGTAATTTTAGATTGTGTTTATCCCGTTCTTACTTGTGTTCTCGATTCGCTTGCAACAAAGACTTCTTGGCGGGTTCAATCGTGTTGTGTGTGGTTGATAACTGTCACACCCCAAAATTTTTGATTTTGGTTTGTGCATAGAAAACACTAAATAAAATGAAAGGTTTTAATATTTGGATAGAATTTACCTAGTTTAGTTTGAGCTAGCGCAAATTTAGTTGAAACTTTTCTAATTTTGACGGACGTTTGGATGATGTGATGTTTGCTTGTTGCTTAATTTTGTGTTGTGAATGCGTCAAGTTTTCAAAACGCGCTTAGTAAGTCATTTATCTTTCTCCGGTTTGTCTCCGTCTTTTTCCACCACCAAATTCCTTATTGCCCAGCTTAAGCCTTTGTTTGGAGCTTCTCCAAAATCTTTTATTTGTAATACAAATCACTCATTTGAGTTCATCATCGGTCAACATGTCTCTCAAAACTTCTCGGTAATTTTTCTATCTTTTCCGGAACTTATTCCCACTTTTCTGCGAGCATAATTTAATCTTTAGATGCTTCAATATATCTTTTCATGAGCTCCAAACACTTCATTGGGTTCCTCATGTTCCAAAATATCTCTCAAAATTTTCACCGAATTTTTGGAATTTTTAGAGTATTTATCGTGGCTCAAATAGTAATTCTAGACTTTCTAGAATTATTTTTAATCATGAAATTCATTAATTCCGAAAATAATAAAATCTAATCCTATTCCAATTTGGCTTAAACCTAGCGCATATAAATACGTGCCTACGTTTCTCTCTTTGATCTTGTTGTGGATCCCGAGCTGTCGTAGCCTAGGTTTGCATCACCGGGCGCTCGCACGGTCCAAACCGTCATATGCGACAAAAGCCATCTCCAGGAGAAGTTTCGCCAAGCAGCCACGCCCGGAGTTGATCGATCCATGCCCCCATCACCGTCTGCTCACTATGGATGCTTATTGCTCGCGCGAAGACTCGCCGCCGGCCGCCTTCAGCCGTGCCTACATGCTCTCCATGGCTGTCGGCTCCGAGGCCTCTCCAGAACCATCGTCATGCGAATAAGGGACTAGGCCGCTGTCATCTCCTTAATTTACATCCAGCCGTCATCTCCGTCACGGTAGTATCTTGGGTGAGCAATTCCATAATTTCCATATCCTGACGTCCTGTTAATTCAGCTTCTAAGGCTGTCTCCGACAGTAGACTCGTTACATAACTCAAATCCAAAATATGTCTCCAACACAATATCTATAGCCTACAACAGAGTACTTATATGGAAGACCTA